CATTAGATAGAGCTCGTTGAGTTCTACTTGGAACCGGGTTGGAACACTTGGAACACGTTCCAGGACCAATATGGGAAGGTTTTAGTATGCAGGTTTGCCTTTTCCCATAGAAAAAGAGCAGTATTTTGGATGTTCCTCAGGATTGGTTTGGGCTATGGAAAATCGAAGGTGGCCATTAGATAGAGCTCGTTGAGTTCTACTTGGAACCGGGTTGGAACACTTGGAACACGTTCCAGGACCAATATGGGAAGGTTTTAGTATGCAGGTTTGCCTTTTCCCATAGAAAAAGAGCAGTATTTTGGATGTTCCTCAGGATTGGTGTGGGCTATGGAAAATCGAAGGTGGCCATTAGATAGAGCCCGTCGAGGTCTACTTGGAACCGGGTTGGAACACTTGAAACACGTTCCAGGACGAATATGGGAAGGTTTTAGTATGCAGGTTTGCCTTTTCCCATAGAAAAAGAGCAGTATTTTGGATTTTCCTCAGGACTGGTTTGGGTTATGGAAAATCGGAGGTGGCCATTAGATAGAGCTCGTTGAGTTCTACTTGGAACCGGGTTGGAACACTTGGAACACCTTCCTGGACGAATATGGGAAGGTTTTACTCGAATATGGAGCTAACTTCACCTACGTCATATTAGGCTTGATGTGCTTTTGTCCATTTTGGTACCGGACATGTTGACCATGATCCAAGAGTTTTCAAACTGCTTTATTTTCTTCTACTAGCACATCCGTTGAAGAAAACAATATCATCAATAATTCCACTATTTCAAAAGAAACACAATTAAAACCAATAGAAGAACATTGGAGAAAATCCAGCAATAAAAGAAATTCTGGACGTTATACCAAGCCTCCAGATGATTTTATTATTACAGAATTGATGTCATCACTTATTGCACAAACAAACAATGTAAATGCCAATCTTATATTGCCGATAGTTACTCCAAACTGGTTAAATATTGCTATAGGTATGCTTCTTTCTACTCAAACTTATGGAATGTACTATAACCCGCTCCTATATTACCAACAAATATACCAATTATTCTTGATTTGATAAGAACTTTTCTTGATGATTGGTGCAAATCAACCACACGAACTAATCAAATGTCAAAAGTTACATTCAATATACCAAATACTGATCAACCTAAAGAACTAAATGAACAATCGATGCATATACTTGAAAATATTCTTATTCCACTTCTTCATTGCAACATTATTGGATACAAAGTATACGTATGTCATTCGTGTAAAAGTGAAACAAAGATGCGAGTGGTTATTACACATATTCCTGTTAATATTAGTAAAACTGGTCTGCACATCGAGCATGCACTACTTACATTTTTTGGTCCTATGACATCGGATGTATTATGTTCAACATGCGGCAAATCAACTGTTCGGCACATAGAAGTTATCCAATGACCACAGGTTCTCATCATAAATATTACTTATCCAAAAGCAACTTTTCGATACAGAAGACCTCCAGCTGTTATATCTGTATCTGAATTTTCTCACTGGATTGCTATTGGTGCTCCATCTTCCACATTATATGATTTAGTTACCTTTAATAGTGTTTTAGCTGTGGGTGATAAAAATGTTATGATACGAGTGACAAAAACTAAAAAAATTGAACTACCAGTGTTAATAAGAAAATAATTGGCAATGGAGAACAATTACGTCGTCTGTATGGATCCAGCCGTAAGTAAAATTCTACTTCTGAATTTGCTAACATGGTCGACATTTTATCACACTTGACCTAATACAGTGGAGTTCTCAAACTTCTCGAATTTTGAAATAGTGAAATTTTCGGCTGTTGACAAGAGGCTTCTAATCGTGAAAGCTATTTTTAGCACTGGATATAAGAAGCCAAAATGAATTAATTTACCAAAGTAATCATCCGTTTCATAATAGTCTTACTAAATATTTCAAAGTCTGATGATTATAGTTTTTAAGTTGCATTGAAACCTTAGGAGCTGTTGAAGTTTCATGAGATTTTCCGAACTTGTTTTAAAATTTAAATGAAGTCTGATATTCTCTAACTGATTTCAGCAAAGTATTAATGAATTTATTTTCTTATTATAGGTATTTTAATATTAGAACGCATTTTTCACCGAACAAAATTTAACATGGTGTATGCTATTGCTCGATGTTCATCTGATTCTTCGTCATTAGAACTTCCTGATGTATCAATATCTATTACACTGCAAGAAGCATGTGAAATCATCGAAACTAATCCTGATCTTAATAAACTAAAAGAAACTCTCATCTCTGAAATTGCTACTTATTTTTATTGTCCTTCATGCCGTCAAACACCAAATTCAATTATATCATCAAGTACTCAAATTTTTATTTTTAAACTTACCGTGAACAATCAAATTGTGGCTCATCCAGTGATTTCGAAAGACAATGATGATTTAACAAATGATCAACGATCTTGTACATATTGTAAATATTCCACCAAAAATATCGATTTGCCTGTATATAAACAAGTCTTTCACAAATGCCCTGTTGTATTATTGGTGAGTTTTCCGTCGATTATAAACGTTACTTTTAAACTTCAGTATAATGATAGTAAACAACTATATACCATGAGAAATTGTTTAGAATATTATATCTATTGCAGCATACCTTTCAGTACATAGCGAGCCCTCAATAGGATTGAATCTATAATTTTTTAATTGTTTCGCATAAATCGCAATAATGATTTTGTTTCATATTAGCAAAACCATCAAAACTATTTCTTAAATTAAATCATTGCAATGAATCAGAACATAAAATAGTAAATATTTTTTTAATTTATTTTAGAAATTTGTAAATCGTGATGTGCCACCTGAGAATATTTTTGAATCACAAATAAAACTTACTGATTCAAGCGGTCAACAGTTCACTTATAAAGCAACATTATATAGAAAAAAAAAAGAAAACGAATATTTTCTTCAATGAAGAATTCATAGAAACTTTTAGCATTTTCTTTCTTCTTTATTATAGGTAGTTAAAAACCAGAGAACTGAAGCTGAGACTGAAGTTTGTTTCAAATTAGAATAAAAGAAAAAAAACAACTGGTTTAACTTTATATTGAAATAAGCCTTCCAATAGGGCAATGTTTAAGATTGAACCGATTGCAATGTAATAGTAAAATACAAGGAACTTAAAGAAAATCAATAATCATTACTTTAAGTTCCATGATAGTAAAGTTTTTTTGATATCGAAATAGGAGACAAATCTTATTTTTTGATAAAAACAGAGATCAATTCCAAAAATAAACGGTTATATAATTATGCCTAAAGGTGATGGTTGACAACGGTTGAACTAGATATAGTCTAAAACTTTCTATAATAGATTATAACGAAAGAAGTGTAGTACCTGGATATAGTTATAAATGACCCTATGATTGAATACAGAGAAAGAAAAAAAAAAAAAATAGATAAAATCGTATAGCACATGTTGCACTCGCTTCAGAAATCATATTCACCACTGTTAGCAACTTTACATTTGTTTTTTTTTCTCGATACATTAACAACTTTCAACAATGTAAATAATAACTTTAACAGTGGTTCTTTTATTCAAATAAAAAAAAGAAAAAAAAAACAAATAACTTGAAAGGTAATGTTGTCTTTTCTCCATTTAGGCCAGCAGAGTTTTGTAGTACGAAAACCGCTAATTCCCAATCGTCTAGCTATAAATTAGTGAATATTCTTGATTTTTAATGAGAATAAATTTATTTCATTCAAATATTTATTATTTAGACAGCAGTCACGATTTCGAATTTACCGAAGTCTATTACAGGCAGACAACTAAAAGAGTCTTTGAACAGTATATTTAATAATACTGTCAAAAAAGTTGATATCAAAATTGATATTGCCGATTATTCTACAGGTATTGCTTATGTTGATTTTTACGATCAACATGCAAAAAATGCATGTCTAGAGTTTCAGGCAAACAATCGATTTATTTATTTGTCGTAAGTTCGCGACATTTTTTCTCCTTCACAAAAGATTGTTTGTTTTAATTTTTAGTAATAATTTGTGGAAAGGTCCAATTAATATTAAAGAATATACTGGTACTGAAGATGAACAAAGTATTTTCAAGTGAACTATTTGACTTTTGTTTAAAAAAAAAGAACATATACGAATGTCTTTATATTTTAGAATTACAATGACTGAACCAAATCAAGTTGATTCATTAGCATTACCCAGGTCAAACAAGCACGGTCGTAAACGACCGTATACGGAGACATACGACGATTTACATGGTCACGTATTACGATCGTATATCTCCGTGTCGTATACGGAGAAATACGGTGGTATACGGAGAAAAATACGATCGTAAACTGAGATCGTATACGGAGTTCGTATACAATCTCCGTTTTGCCCCGTATTTCTACGTATATCGTCGTATTGCTCCGTATACGGTG